TATTGGATTCCATAAGTTCTGTGGGTGATAGCAGGCCACCCAAGGAAAAAGAGACACAAGCCACAAGTTTTCAGCTGTAGGGTGGTTTCAAAATGCACCAGAACTGCTGAACTGCTGAACCACCACCGCAAGCTGGGAAACCTCATGTTTTGGCAAAGCCTGCGGCAATTGTATGTTTCAAACAGGAAGAAGGAAACCCTTGGAAAGGAGAAACTGGCAAGCAACGTGCCCAGGTGTTTACAGAAAGTGACGGTTAGGGAAGTTGTGAAGGGTCTGTGTGGGTTAGAAGAAAAGTGTGAAGGACGGGGTGGGAGGTCATGGGGCCCTGTGGTCACCTTGTAGGACCTGCTAGATGTCCTTTGGTCCCATTGCACTGGCTCGTTCATGTAAGTGTATGGCTGCTATTCTGTCTGTTATATCGATTCATTTCTTTCGTTCCAAATGGTTAGAAAACCGTAAGTATCTCTGATCTTAAAGTCAGAATTATTGCTGCTGGTGTTGTCTTTGTTTCCTCTTGGAATTTTCTTATGACCCTTCCTTCCTTCCTTCCTTCTGACTGGACAAGAATTGGTCCAGGATGGTATAAGAGCAGCAGGGTTGGGCTAGAAGACCTCCAGGGGTCCTTTCCAGCTCTATGATTTTAGGATCTGTCCGTCTGTCTTTATGTTTGTTCATCTATGGTATCTATCGACCTACCTACCTGCTCATCCATCCCTCCGTCATATCTATGCATCTATCTCTCTTTGTGTGTGTGTGTGTCTGTCTGTCTGTCTGTCCCTCCCTGTCTCTCTCTCTCTCACTTTAAGTCTGTTTCTCTTTCTTTCTCTCTCTCTATATCTCTCCCTCTCTCCCTCTCTCTGTGTGAGTCTCTCTCTCTCTCTCTCTCTCTCTCTCTATCTATCTATCTATCTATCTATCTATCTATCTATCTATCTATCTATCTCTCTGTATCTCTCTCTCTCTGTGTGTGTGTCTCTCTCTCTCTGTTGCTCCCTGTCTCCGTCTCCCTCTATTTATTTATTTATTTTATTTTATTTTATTTGGTTTGTAAATTGCTTACAAGATGATAGGTATAAGTAAAAACATAGTTATGACATGGATTCATACAAGAAAAATAAAAAGAAACAATAGGACAGGGACGGTAGGCACGTTGGTGCGCTTATACACACCCCCTACAGACCTCTTAGGAAAGGGGTGAGGTCCATAGTAGACAGTCTAAGGTTAAAGTTTTTTGGGGTTTGGGGAAGAAACTACAGAGTCAGGTAGAGGATTCCAGACATTGGCCACTCGGTTGCTGAAGTCGTATTTCCTGCAATCAAGTTTGGTGCGGTTTACCTTGAGTTTGTATCTATTGTTTGCTCTTGTGTTGTTGTGGTTGAAGCTGAAGTATTCATTGACAGGACATTGCAATGCATGATTTTATATACTATACTTAGATCGGACCAAAGGCGGCGTAGTTCTAGGTTTTCTAGGTCAAGAATTTCAAGTCTGGTGGCATAAGGTATTCTGCAACGAGTAGAGGAGCGGAGAACTCTTCTTGTGAAATATTTCTGGACTTTCTCAACTGTGCTAATATCAGATATGTAGTGTGGGTTCCAGACTGATGAGCTGTATTCGAGTATTGGTCTGGCAAATGTTTTGTATGCTCTAGTTAGTAATATTACCAGAAAAAAAGCTACGTAAGATTAGATTAACAACTCTTAATGCCTTTTTGGCTATGTAGTTACAGTGGGCTCCAGCACTTAGGTCATTAGAGATGAGTCCTCCAAGGTCCTTGACAGAGTTTGGATCATCAACCAGGTCTTGACTATTATTTTCTGATTTATTTTTTTGCCAATATGTAGGACAGAGCATTTATTTCTTGAGATTTGAAGTTGCCATTTGTTTGACCATTCTGATACATAGTCGAGGTCTTTTTGAAGGGTAGCAGTATTGTCGGCGGTGTTGAATAGCTTTACATCGTCAGCGAAGAGAACGCAGTTGCTCTTGATATGATCACAGAGGTCATTTATGTAGTGTATGAAGAAAGTTGGTCCTAGAACACTGCCTTGGGGGACACCACTGTTGACAGGTACAGAATTTGAGAGGACATTCCCAATTTTGACCATTTGTTGTCTGTTTGACAGGAATGCTTCTATCCAGTTATGCAGGTGTCCATCGATACTATAAGATTTTAGTTTTAGGAGTAGTTTGTCGTGTACCACTGAATCAAAGGTTTTAAAGAAGTCTATGTAGATTGCGTCTATTGTTTTGCCCTGATCGAGTTGTGTAGTCCATATGTTTTTGCAGTGTAAGAGTTGCAGATTACAGGATAGTTTTTTTCTGAAACCAAATTGTTTATTAGAGAGTAGGTTGTTTGTCTCTAAGTGGAGGATGATGGATTGGTTAATAGTTGATTCCATGACTTTACAGGTGAAGCAGCATAAGGAGATTGGTCTGTAATTTTCAAATAGGCTTTCTCTCTCTCTCTCTCTCTCTCTGTCTCTCTCTTTCTCTCTGTGTGTGTATCTCCCCCCTTGCTCTCTCTGTCTCTCTGTGTGTCTCTGTCTCTCTGTCTCTCTCTTTCTCTGTGTGCGTCTCTTTCTGACTCTCTGTCTCTCTGTGTATCTCTCCCCCTCTCTGTCTCTCTCTTTGTCTCTCTGTCTCTGTCTCTCCCTGTCTCTCTCTCTGTTTGTGTGTATCTCTCTCCGTCTCTCTCCCAATATCTAACTATATGTCTGTCTGCCTGTCTTTGTGTGTGTGTGTGTGTGTGTGTTGCAGAACAAAGAATCTTAAGTTGGCAGGTGAACTCACACCTGGCACCTGAACCGTCCCACATTTAGTCATGGGAATGAAAAAAAAACCTGGGTCGAATCCACAAGGAGCCCCCAAGAGCCGGAGGGCCTCGTGGTGACATTTTCCAGCAACCTAGAAAAGAGGAAACATAAATTCAGAATTAGCACCCCCTGACAGCACCTTTCTCTCTGATTTGGTCCAACCTGTCCAGGTTGGGAGATTGTGGGGTGCTGAGTTGTGTGATTTTGTTAAATACTGTGCAAAGAACCCCATTTCCCTAATTAGACTCAGGGATCCCAACCAGAACAAGGAAGTAAAAATAATTTCCTTTTGGCTTCCTGCCTAATTTCTCAAAGGAGCTCCTTGACTAAGAGCTGCAGCGGAGCCCAACCTTTCCATTGCTTGAGTTAGACAGTCATTAAGTGAGCTGCGTCCCGTTTTGTGACCTTTTGTTGCCACGGTTGTTAAGCGAATCACTGCAGTCCTTGAAGTGAGTCACGCGCATTTTAAGTGAATCCAGCTCCCCCCTGGGCTTGGCATCGCCTGACCCCGGGGGACGCTGCGATGGTCGTAAATACGAGTCGGTGGCCCAGTGGCCGAATTTTGATCTTGCGACTGTGGCAGTCGTTAAGTGTGAAAAACGGTCTCCCGTCGCTTTTTTTTCAGCGTCGTATCTCCGAAAGGTCCTCATTAGAGGAATGCCTAATTGTTGTTAAGCCTCCCTGCTGCATTTGGGGCTCTGTTTTTATTTCCACACAACCCCCCGAAAGTTTTTTATTATTTTACAAACATATCAATGCGTGAACAGTGTAGCACCTGAGTGTCATGCATTTGGATACAAATAAAATAGCATTAATCACACTTGTTTCCTTTAACACGCTGGTGTAATTCCAGTAATGATACCCATATTTTTATGAAATGATCATCTTTCCTTATTTAATGTTTTGATGTGCCATTTTTTATGCCAATCACCCTATTCTAAGTGTCATACCTTTTAATACAGGTAGAATATTATTAATCATATTTATTACATTTTGCAAGCTTATATAATTCTGATATAACACAAACATTTATGTTAAATTGAAATCTTCCGTGATTTGCTTGCTCAACTATAATCCTTCATCATTTGGTTATTCAATCTATATATATAAAAAGGGAAATACCCCTCACGCATCATCACAAAATCTCCAGAACCGTAAAGCCTACAAACTTGAAATTTGGCACGTAGGTTCCTCTTGGTTTCTAGGGGCTCACTAAGAAAGGATTTTTCCAAATGATCCTCAGAGCATTTAGAGTATTTCCTATATTATTATTATTATTATTAACACGCTCTGATACCAAGGAATTCTACTCCCCCTCCCCACCTGGAAAGAAATCTCTTCCAAAGGCAAAACACAAGCAGAGGAGGTTCAGTTTCACAGCAGCACCAAGCAGCTTTAGTACAGAACAGTTGAGCTAAGCCACGCCCAGGCTCCTTGCTGTCTCCTTCTTGCTCACACAGCAAATACTGTTTCAGTTTCCAAACAGCCCTCCACTCTCTCCCACACTGATAAGATGCTAGCCAGATAAATACGCATGGACGCTGGTAGACAGAGGCAGAATTTCCCCCCTTATTTTCCTCCCAAAAACTAAGCCCCACCACATAGTTTCGTAGCGAAGCAGGGGGATCGAGCTAGTTCTAATAATAATACAAACATTTATATGATATTAAAATCTTCCATGATTCGCGTGTTCAATTTATAATCCTTCATAATTTGGCTATTCAGGCTATTTCAAATATGTTATTTTCATGTTAATCACCCTGTTCTGTAGGTCGTACCTTTGAATGCAAATTAAAAAGCGTTTTAATCCTATTCGTTACATTTAGCAAACATGCACCTGTTCATATTGAGTTATCACCATTCATTATTTATTTAATCGATAGTTCAACCTCCGGACAAGGTTGGAATTTGGAGGTTCAATTCCCTCCCCCTCATCCGCCCCCCAGGATGGCTTCCTAACCACCCCACTATTTTTGCCCCCAGGAAATTGCAGAATATCACAATTTATTGCACGAGGTCTCCATCAGCGTCGAAGGTAAGGATTTGGAGAGGGGTTTTTTTGGGGGGGGGGGTAGGGGGGGGGGGGGAATGCCAACTCCCCTCCCCCTCCCCTGCGTGGGGGTGGCATTGGGGAGGGCAACCTTTCTGGAATTTGGGGAGTGGGCAGAGAGCAGAAGGAAGCCCTCGGCTGGCTGGTGGGTGGCACCTTCGCCCCCTTGGGGGAAATTGGGAGCGCTTGGTGAGCGAGAAGAGCCAGGATTTTGGGGTGGGTTTTTTTTATTTTTGCAAGTTTGAATTCTGAAATAAGTGTTTGTTTCTCTTCCTCATCTTCTTCTCCATCCCTTATTTCTTCCTCCTTTCTTTTTTTCCCTCCTTCTCGTAATTTTCCTCCTTTCTTCCTTCTGTTCTCTTTCTCTCCCTCCTTTCTTTCTCCTCCTAATTTTCTTTCTGCATCCCTCCTCCTCCCCCAAATTCTCCTCCTGCATCTCTTCCTCTCCTCATACCTTCTCCTCTACCTTTCTTCTCCACCTCTTCTTTTCTTCTTTTTCCCTCCATTCTTCCTCCTCCTCTCTTCTTCCTAATTCTCCTTCTCCATCTCTTCTTCCACCTCCTCCGCCCTTTCTCCTTTCTTCCTTCATTCTTTCTCCTTTCTTCCTCCTCCTTTTTGTCCTCCTCCTCCTCCATCTCTTCTTACATTTCTCCTTTCTTCTCTTCCTCCTAATTTTCTTCCTCCTCCTCTCTTCTTCCTAATTCTCCTTCTCCGTCTCTTCTTCCACCTGCTCCCTTCCTCCTTTCTCCCTCCCTTCTTCTTCCTCCTCCTCCTCTTCTTCCTCCCTGCCCCAGACCTGAAAGCTGACGGCTTTAGCCAAGATCCTTTCTTCAAATGTCTCATGGCTGAGCTGCCCCCCGAAAACCCCTCCAAGCCAGGTAAAAGCTGCTCCCCACCACCCCAATTCCCCCACCCACCCACCCACCCACGCACGTAAAACTTCGAAGTTTGAAAATGCATGAAATCACATGTCAACTCATAAAATATTTCTCTGGTCTTTTTTATAATTGCCAACAGAAAGGGAGGCGGGGAAAGGGGTTTGAAAGAGCAGTGCGGAAGCTTGGAAACCGAAAGTGCATTCCCTAAAAAGTTTGTCAAAGATAGTAACTAGGAAACTGAAGTTTATGCCCCGCAAATCAGTGGTGGGATTAAAAATTTTTTTACGATCGGTTCTCTGGGCGTGGCTAGGGGTGTGTGGCTAGGGGGCGTGGCCATGCGACTGGGTGGGCATGGTTTTGTTTTTTTTCCAGCACTCCCTCTCCACCCCACCAACCCATTTTGGGGGCCTTCTGGGCATTGCCTGGGTGTAGCCAACTCTGAGACCCATCATTCATGGTCACCCTTGACCCTGGTTTTCCCTCCCACCCCCTGGGTGTATCATAATTCATATTCTCCAATGAGACACATCCATAGCCCAGAGTCATCAATCATGCTCTTCAGTTAGATTTTTGCATGGCAGAAACTTCATTCCTCTAGTTTACAATCAAAAGTATTGATGGAATGCACTTTCGGTTTCCAAGCTGCCGCACTGCTCCCCCCTCCCTTTCTATTGGCGACTCTAAAAAGACCACAGAAATATTTCATGAGTTGACATTTAGTCGTGTTATTTTACTTCCAAAATATTTCGTATTTGAACTCTGGTGGTTTTTTTTTAAATTGAAATGGGATGTGAATGTGCCACGCGATAAATAAATTCATATATGATAATTTTGCCCCCCCCAACGCAGGGCGCCCGATCGGCTATGTCTTGTACTACAAGGGGTACTGCGTCAACCATGGGAAGATGGTCTATTTGGAAAATATCTACGTGGCGCCGGAATTTCGGGGTAGGTTAAACAATGATCGTGTTTGGACTCGCCCAGGGTTGCTTTATTAGCGTGAGATTGAGGAGGAGGCGCATATACATTGAATAAACAGACAAAATAAGCAAATTAAGTCCGTGACATCTTTTTAAAAAGCCAATTTTGATGAGCAATGCCTATCGGATTAGTAGTAGTTATATTGTCTTGCCAGTCGGAGTGATTCATGCCACCTGGGGAATTCTGGGAGTTGAAGTCCATCCACCTTAAAACATGCCGGATAGGGAATTCTGGGAGTTAAAAGTCCACTCATTTTAAAGGTGCTGGATGAGGAATTCTGGGAGCCGAAATCCATTCATCTTAAAGCATGCCAGCTGAGGAATTCTGGGAGTCCACCTTAAAGATGCTGGATGGGGAATTCTGGGAGTTAAAGTCCATCCATCTTAAGAAATGCCAGCTGGGAATTCTGGGAGTTAAAGTCCATCTATTTTAAAGATGCTGGATGGGGAATTCTGGGAGTTAAAGTCCATCCACCTTGAAGCATGCCAGCTGAGGAATTCTGGGAGTCAAAGTCCATCCATTTTATAGTTGGCAAGTTTGCAAAACACTAAAATAGAGGGAGGTTCAGTCTGGGCAAAATCCAGTGTTTCCCAAGAAAATGATTACAATTATTAGACCTTTTTTTATTGAAAAAAAAGAAAGAAAGGAATGTAATTGGCATGGCACTTTTTGGGGGCAACCCACTAACTTCCTTGTGGTTTCTTCTGTCCAGATAAAGGAATCGGAAAACAGCTGCTGGTGAAAGTGGCAGAAGTAAGTTCGGAATGTAAAACCTTTTCCAGATTTGAATTGTGAGGGCATTGAGGACTAGTGCCTTGTCTCTTCAAGACTTCCCCAAATGAGGAATTGTGGTCCCTCTCTCAGGAAAGGCAGATAAAGGCAGTCCTTGGCTTACAACCATTTGATAAGGGAACGCACAAAATTCCAACACTGAAAAAACAGCCACTTAGGACCATTTTTCACACTTACGACCATTGCAACCCAAACTCAGACGCTCGGCAAGTGACTCATACTTATGACGGTTGCAGCGTCCCGGGGTTCACACGACCCCGTTCTAAATGGGGGGAAAGCCAGGTTCACTTAACAACTCTATTACTAATTTAACAACTGCAGTGATTCACTTAATGACGGTGGCAAGGTCACAAAACCGGGCAAAAATTGCTGGACCGCTGTTCCACTTCGCGACAGCAATTTTGGGCTCAGTTGTGATCATAAGTCGAGGAATTGCCTGCACCCCATCAGAGGTTTGGTCATTGGGGGGATTGGTCTAAGTCAAGGATTACCTATCCTGCTGGGTCAGATAAGGATCACAGAGCCCACAGCTTCGGTAGCAGTCTACTTCGGTAGCAGTCTACTACTAGTCTACTAGCAGTCTACTAGTAACTAGAGCAGTGGTGGGCAAACTTTTTGGCTCGGGGGGCCGCATTCACTTTTAAAATTTGACAGACGGGCCGGGTCAGCACAAGATTTTTTGGGAATCGCCCCCCCTTCCCCCCTTCTTCTCCTCCTTCCCCTCCCCTCGGAGGCCCCCTGAGTCAGGAGTTGCTACTGCCGGCACGGCTCCACGCGGCTCCAGTCCCACGTTGCCTCGGGAAGGGAAAGGCAAAAAGGAAGAGCCGCGGCGGTGCTTTGCAACGGCAGCAGCGGCACCGGAGGTTCAGGCTCAGCGGCTCCTGGTTTTGCCTTTCCCTTCCCAAGGCAACGCGGGACTGGAGCCGCGCGGAGCTGCGCCGGCGGTAGCAACTCCTGACAGCCCCAGCCGGACACCTGAGCAGAGCCCGGGCAGAACTGCCTGTTGCTGCTGCGGGCGCTGCTGCGGGTGTCTGGCTGCCCAAGTAAAGAACCGCACCAGCTCAGGGCAACTGTG